CCCTACTAACTTAGAGAAATACATGAGCAAGTTATTTTTCTTGATCAAATTAAGATAAACCAGACTTGTTCCCAGAAATGAATGGAACATAACAAATATATCCACTGGCAACTTCCTTCTCTTGAACCATTCACAATGCTCTTTTATGAGGTTAGCCAAGCAGATGAAGAATTGGCCTAGAGATCTTATATTTGATATCCTGAATGCCTATCAGTCTAGACACGATGAACTTGGCATTGTTTCCTTAAAGCATTTACAAACTTAGAATCTAGAAAAGGAGCCTAGTGGACTGATACAGTCTGTAACTAGGGAGCAGCAGTGTTTCTGATGCTTTTAGAGGATTTTCTGCCTTCCTGGATATGACATCATGCAGGAATCTAATACTGTATAGTGCCTTCCCACCACCCCCCCCACCCCCAAGATGCTACAAGGATTGACTCCAGAATCAACAGTGACAAATATCTAAATTACTTAAGTATCATTCTAAAACAAAGAAGGTCCTGAGTGGGGCAATGAAGATTAAAATACTCTGTTATTAAATTATATTGCTACAGAAAAGACTATTTGAAGTCTTGTTTTAAAGACTTACTTCATGCCCATCCTAAGCAAAACATGGATATTTTATACTCTTGATGGTTATAGAAGCAAAAATATGGACTCTGAATAGACTTTTAAAAAAATTCCATGCTGCTAAACCCATGAAAATTTCTTGATGATACTATTATAGGCTGCTATAGGATACTATTATATAAGTTTGGAGATTGTGGATGGAGAAGTGGGTGTGCATAGAGATGGAAAAAAAGAACAGGTGATATTATTCTAAAAAATAAAAATGTTTTAAAAATAATAAGATTCAATGTATTAAAGTATTTTTATTATTGTTATTATAAAGGACTTTCCAGACGGCTCATTGGTAAAGAATCCACCTGCCAATGTAGGAGATGCTGGAGACACAAGTTCGATCCTTGGATCCAGAAGATAACCTGGAGGAGGAAATGGCAACCCACTCCAGTATTCTTGCCTGGAGAATCCCATGGACAGAGGACCTGGTGGGCTACAGTTTGTAGGGTCACAAAGAGTTGGACATGACTGAGCAACTGCACATGCATGCATAAAGGCATGACAGCCAAATTAGAGTATGTTGCTTATTTTTTAAAAAACCAAAATTCTAGGAAAATCACCTTAAATGTCATTCAGTCACTCTTTTAGGATAATAGTAATAAAAACCAACTGCTTATTTAATAGGTGCATCTACGCATCTTGCTGAAAATTTGCAATTATGATTTTCCCAGTAGCAAACAAAAGCAAAATTAATGGCAGCTGCATCCCCCACAAAGCCTAAGCTATATTACTAATGAACTCTCAAAGAACACTCTCGTTGCAAAAAAATAATCAGGTGGAAATTACTGTAATAATCCAAATGTAGAAATAAAGGAAAAGAATTACCAAAAATGCAGAGAACAGTCTTCCTGCCACGATGCCATTAACTGTTAAAATAACCTGAGCACAGTGGTATTTTGACATTACTAAGATTCTGGAACTGCACAAAATCCATGTATATTTTAAACTGCATTCTTTAATTATAAAGTTGGCTTACATTGGACGGAAATTACTCTATATTTCATAACCATGCCATGCCCTGCCTCTGATTTTAACAAGCTAGTTTGTTTTCATGAAAGTGCTTGGTCACATTAAAATGGGAAATTGTGATCACATATATGATGATCTTAATATAGAGTAAATCACAGGTGTGCATGTTTTGCATTATTGAGATAAGGTCCATGATTCTTTGTCTTTACTGAGAAAGCATTATAGCTCTTCCAAATGCTAACATTTTCATCCTTGAGGACATGCCAGTAGGCAGATTTACCTAGATGGGCTGGGATAGGAAAGACTGATTTAGTAGGAGGTAGTCTTAATTACTGCTGGCAAAATGCCTTAATTGGTGCTTGTAAGAGGCTGGAAGACTTGACTATACTATAAAATGCAAAATGGCTTTATCCTAGTTATTGTTCTTCCTTAAAAAAGAGTATAAAGTCCAAAGGCAGAAACTCTGGAGTCTGAGAAACATAGGTTCAGCTACAAATTGAAGAATTTGTAGTTTATTTAAAACATAAGGGCCTCCATTTCCTTATATGCAAAATAGGATTATAAATAAGCACCTGATAGAGTTGTTATGACAATTTAGTGATAGAATATATGCAAAGTCTCTCAAATGCCTGGAGTATCATAGACATTCAGTAAAGCTTCTGCCTCTCTCACCCATGTGTGTATCTTTTATTTGCTTCATGCTTTAAGTGCTGAGAGGAAAATAAAAATTGAATAAGCAGCCTATGAGCTAATTAAGCCAATGAATTATCTGGAAGTATAATTAATAATATATGGTAAAGAGTCATTATACTAAGTAATGATAACAATAATTAATATTTGTTACAGGCTTAAATTTTGTGCCAGGCACTATGTTAAATACTTTACATGCATGTTTTCTTTCATTTAATTTTTAGAACAATTCTATGACTGAGGCATCTTCTTCCACTTTCCTCTTCCACTTCTTTCTTCCCATTTTACAGATGAGATAATGAGCCTTAGAAGGATTAACTACTTAACCAAATATAGCTCTGATACTTATCTTGGTTTACTAACTCCTAATTCAATGTTCTCTTCATTACTAATGCTCTGATTAGTTGGAATCAGTGAGGGAAAGCAGGCAGATGGTAGGTTAGGGAGATGATATATCATAACGATTAAAAGCAACTCCAGACCTGTGATATCCAATATGATAGCCACTAGCCACATGTAGCTATCAAGCACTTGAAGTATGGTTAGTTCCACGTGTGTGAGTCACTCAGTCATGTCCAGCTCTTTGTGACCCCATGGACTGTAGCCCACCAGGCTCCTCTGTCCATGGAATTCTTAAGACAAGAATACTGGAGTGGGCTGCCATTTCCTTCTCCAGAGGATCTTCCAGACCCAGAGATGGAACCCGCATCTCCTGCATTGCAGGCAGATTCTTTACTGTCTGAACCACCAGAGAAGTCCAAAGCTTCTTATTTAATGTGAGTTCCACATGTTGAAAATATTTTGGATGCATTGGGTTAAATAAAATATACCATTAGAATTAATTTCACATTTTACCTTTTTCTTTTTACCCTTGATCAATTCAGTTCAGTTCAGTCGCTCAGTCATGCCTGACTCTTTGCAACCCCATGGACTGCAGCACGCCAGGGGTTCCTGTCCATCACCAACTCCCGGGTCTTACCCAAACCCATGTCCATCAAGTCAGTGATGCCATCCAACCATGTCATCCTCTGTCATTCCCTTCTCCTCCTGCCCTCAATCCGTCCCAGCATCAAGGTCTTTTCCAGTGAGTCAGCTCTGCGCATCAGGTGGCCAAAGTATTGGAGTTTCGGCTTCAGCATCAGTCCTTCCAATGAACACCCAGGACTGATCTCCTTTAGGATTAACTGGTTGGATTTCCTTGCAGTCTAAGGGACTCAAGAGTCTTCTCCAACATCACAGTTCAAAAGCATCAATTTTTCAGCGCTCAGCTTTCTTCACAGTCCAACTCTCACATCCATACATGACCACTGGAAAAACCATAGCCTTGACCAGATGGACCTTTGTTGGCAAAGTAACGTCTCTGCTTTTTAATATTCTGTCTAGGTTGATCATAACTTTCCTTCCAAGGAGTAAGCGTCTTTTAATTTCATGGCTGCAATCACCATCTGCAGTGATTTTGGAGCCCAGAAAAATAAAGTCAGCCACTGTTTCCACTGTTTCCCCATCTATATCCCATGAAGTGATGGGACCAGATGCCATGATCTTAGTTTTCTGAATGTTGAGCTTTGAGCCAACTTTTCACTCTCCTCGGGTATTCAAGGCAGCTGCTAAATGAGGAGGGAGGCTTTGTTTACTGCTGTGGAATTGTCTTCACGTACACTTTTAAAATCAACATGCAAAACACTGTATGTAGTGTTGGTTAAAAGGAAAATAAGGAGGGAATAAATGTATATGTATTTGCTTGACTATGCTTGGAATGTCTCTGGAAGGAGTACCAAGAAATGTCTCTAATGAAGAAAACTGGTTGATTGGAACATTGGAAAGCGAGAGGTTAGGCTGATTCTTTGCTGTATATCCCTTTGTACATTTTGAATTATATGAGTGGAATGTGTACATAAAAATAATCAGAATTTCAAAGAAATTAGTTTTTAATTAGGCAATGTGAAGGGAGAATTAGTTACTTGAGAGAAGATGACTTATCGGATGGAGGTTTTGGACTGGCCCCAAGTAGCTGCTTAGAAATGCTGGGCTCAAGCTTTGGTATTCAGGTCAAGTGTCAATTGAATTTATTACCTTTCTCTCTTCTAATTTTAAGAAAAGGCAAATATATATTTTTAAATCACGGCTTTCGTGCATCAGTAAAATTCAACTGCCACCATATTAGTTTTGTGGGAGGATTTCTAAGGGAGCCCAGCTTCTCCCATCCCCCTCCTTCACCTGCTATCATGTTGTCAAGCTGGTGAGTCACATAAAAAATAAAAAGACACCAGTCCTGTGTTTGGAAAGCACATTCTAGTTATGGAAATAAATACGTAAACTCATGAGAGAATGGTGTAGTACAGTCTATAATAGAAGGGGAAATTGGGAGAACTACTTCTGCCTGGAGGGAAGGGCAGGTCGAGGAGGGCTCAGGAAGATGAGCTAAGAGAGATCTTGGAAGTGAGTATTTCAGACAGAGGGACGGGTAGGAGGAAAGGGGGAAGGCGTGCAGGGTGATGCAAGGAGTAGGGAGCCATCTCCTAGGCCCCTGCGCTGTGTGTTTTAAGTATGGGGGGAGGGGGATTGAGAAGCAGAACCGAGATCTGAGGATGTGCCGGGGCCATTACGGCTCTCACAGATTATAGCATTCTTCTCTGTTGCTCCTGTTACCTGAACACTGTCATACCTGAGTGGAGTTGTTCAGCAAATGTAAATTTGCACAAAGAGCAAAGTTGACTCACAAGTTGGGGTCCAGTGGTGGGCGCATGTAGGGCGTTTTCTGGAAGAGCTGGGGCTGTGAGAAAGGACATGATGGGCAGGTGGCTGAACCGGGGGCCTGAGGACACTTGGGAGTGAGCAGCGGGGGCCGGCTAAGACAGGAGCTCCGGAGAGACCTGAGGGGCGGAATCAGGAAGCGGTGGGCAACCACTGCGGCTGGTGGACTGCATCTTTTATTTCTGCACCCTGTGTAGCCTCCGTGGCTAGCCTGCCTCCCGGGGGCCCTGACCGGGCTTTCCCAGACTTTCGGCGCACACAGGGCCCCCTGTGCGGTCCGCACCCTCGGGCTCCTGCCTCTGGTCACACGGTTCCCAGCCCTCTGCCAGTGCGGGAGGGAGCACAGAGCCCGCCCAGAAAAGGAGCTCGCTGTGAGTTCCTGAGTAATGCCAGAGTTTAACGGCGGGGGATTCAGGGCCATTGGTCCAGTGGTGTCTCCATAGTGCCAGTACAGGTCACACTGGGGACATGCAAAGGGCCACAGGACCGGGAAGGGGTGAAGGGAGCCTTCCCGACCTCCCTGTCATACTTGCTTTGTTCACTGTCTGATGAAACATTGCTGATATTCTTGCCCACTACTATCTAGCCAAAGCTTCCCATGTATATTTAGGCTAGGTAATCATTACATGGGGCTTCCCTTGTGGCTCAGAGGGTAAAGAATCTGCCTGCAGTGCGAGGGACCTGGGTTAGATCCCTGGATCAGGAAGATCCCCTGGAGAAGGACATGGCAACCCACTCCAGTATACTTGCCTGGAGAATCCCATGGACAGAGGAGCCTGGTGGGCTACAGTTCATGGGGTCTCAAAGAGTCAGACACAATGGAACAGCTAACACAACCATTACACAGGCAGCTTTCATTTAAAATATCAAGGTCATGGTAAGTCACCCCAGTCGGATCTAACTCTCTGTAACCCTCGGGCTCCTCTGTCCACGGGGTTCTCCAGGCAAGAATACTGGAATGGGTTGCCGTGCCCTTCTCCAGGGCATCTTCCCAACCCAGGGATCAAACCTGAGTCTCTTATGTGTCCCACATTGGCAGGCGAGTTCTTTTTTTGTTTTTTTCCATTTATTTTTATTAGTTGGAGGCTAATTACTTTACAGTATTGTAGTGGTTTTTGTCATACATTGATATGAATCAGCCATGGATTTACATATATTCCCCATCCTGACACAGATGTACAGAACAGACTTTTGGACTCTGGGAGAAAGCGAAGGTGGGATGTTTTGAGAGAACAGCATCGAAACATGTATATTATCTATGGCAGGCGAGTTCTTTACCACTAGTACTAACTGGGAAGCTGTAAGATATCAACAACCTCATCTAAATAGAGCATTTTTCTAGCACAAATGGATTGGGTTGCAATTTAGGCAAGATACCTCGATTCAAGCTACATGCTTTATTCCCATTAAGATTGGGAGAATCTGTCCCTCACCTTTTCCTCTTTTGAAATAGGTATATTCAATCAACCAACATATATAGGGTCCCCTTCTATACGGCAGGCATTACACTACATGCTATGGGTAAACACTAAGATAAAATTCCTTCCCTCAGTGAGCTTACTGTCTATTGGAGAGGCAAAACAGGTGCAAACACAGAGAAATGTTAGACTATTAAGTAAATGCTGTGACAGAACTCTATTTGAATATTCTAGGAGCCCCAGAGAGGGTACTTCCTCTGATCATGGGAGCTATAGGAGGTGGTGACATCGAATTGCAGGAAAGGACTTGACCAGATGGAGGAAGGGAAAGGATGTTTGCTCAGAGGAGTATGAAAGCAATGGACACTAATGCACCGAGTTGAAAAGCGGTGGGTTTGCTGTGCTCATGGAGCCGGATTATCTGGTGCAAGTGACAAGTCCAGGAGTGATGAGAGGATGGTTGAAGAGACAGGCAGGGGTTCGATGACCTTGGGAAAGAAGCCTTTTACTAGACTTTGTCCTGTGGGTAATCGGGATGGTGGTGGAGACCTTTCCTGCTCAGGGGGAAGAGAAGCTGCAGAACTCTGGGCGCAGGGAGTCAGAGTCGGATCTGAACGGCGCTCAGCTGGGCCTACCCAGAAGGCAGAGAGAAGAGCCGTGTCGGATGGTCTGGAGAGCATGAGCCTGAAGGGAAACCTTGTGAATGAATTTGAACTTGGTCTTTAGGGCAAAGAGGTTGAAACAGGGGAGTAGCATAATCAACTACCTATTTTGTGAAGATCCCCACAGCAGCTATTTGGGAAGTGGTCCAAAGGGGATCGGTCCAGAGAAAGGCAGGAAAACCAGCCTTGAAGATGGTGCTCAGGTTCTGGTGAGCTGTGACAGTGGCCTGGACATAGAATTGGCAGGATGTGGGGAGCTGGGCCACATTTAGCACATTGTGCCTATTCCCAGTTACTCAACAAACAGTGAGAAGCATTTCAGGACACTTACAGTGGTATTTAAAATGGTTTTCTGTGCCCCCGTGTCCTGTCTACACCCACATTAATTCTACTTTCTCTTGGTGTAGACATCCTCTTTTGGGGGAAGACGCCTTCAACCCCCGGATTGCTGCTCCCATGACATCGTGTGTGGCCTTGCCTGTCCCTGGCACCATGCTTCCTCACACTTGCAGGGCCAGCTGCCCATCTCCTCTGCTGAACTTCATGCAGTCAGGGGCTCTTCCTGGGTACTGTTCTGTTCCCAGTGCCTCATACTGTCCCTGGCACATAGGGGGTGCTCCATGATTTGCTGGATGAATGAATAAACGAATTATTAGTTCAGATACAGGTGGGATATCTGTATTTTACTAGAAGATTCAGAATTTTTTTAATAGAGGAACAATTTTATTATTTAGTTTTAAACATTTTTACATTTTATTGGCATGTAGTTGCTTTACAATGACATGTTAGTTTCTACTGTGTAGCAAAGTGAATTACACACACATATATATATATATATTTATATACATATTCCCCCCCCCCCCACTTTTTGGATTTCCTTCAGCATTTTAATTGGATCCAAGCTAATGACTATCTTTACCCCTCCTCAACATTGTATTATATATTTGGGAACAAAAAGAAGACAATTAGTAAGTAAAATATTGACTTTCGTGATTTTTAAAATGATTATAGATATCACTTTGTGTTTCTAATGTTGGTTGTTGGTTTCAGTCACTCAGTTGTGTCTGACTCTTACAACCCCGTGGACTGTAGCCCGCCAGGTTCCTCTGTCCATGGGATTCTCCAGGCAGGAATCCTGGAGTGGGTTGCCATTTCCTTCTCCAGGGGATCTCCTTGACCCAGGAATTGAACCCAGGTCTCCTGCATTGCAGGCAGATTCTTCACCAACTGAGCTATGGATAGTTCTTTATGTTGAGGCCATTAGCATTGAACAGTATGTTTGTTTCAGGAATACGACATCATTCTTTAACTCTCTCACCTGTCTTGATGTGGCCCTTTTACGGTTTGTTGTGAAGTGCCATTCAGCTGGTTTTCAAGTCTTTTTCAGAGGGAATTGTTCCATTTGTAGCTGTAGATTCGGTGGCCCTGTGGTAGGAGGAGCGTTCAAGATCTTTCTACACTGCCATCCTGGACCGCCCTCAGTATTTTCTTTTTAATATTTTTGTTATTGTGGTAAAAGTCACATAATATAAAACATACTCCTTTACCCATACTTAACTGTGCAGTTCAGGGCGCTAAGTAGATTCGCATTGTTGTGCAACTCTCACCATCGTTCATCTCCCAAACTCTTCACCTTCCTAAACTGAAATTCTGTCCCCATTTAAAACCAGCTCCCCATGCCCGCTTCCCACCCACTGATCCCTGGCATCTACCAATGGACTTTCTAACTCTATGAATTTGACTCTTCTAGGCACCTCATATAAGCAAAATCAGACAGTATTTGTGTGCATTTGCTGTATATTGTGGACTGCCCTCAGTATCTCAAATAATTTTGATAAGCCAAAGAGCTTAAAAGACACATTTTAAACAAATATTTATAAAATGGTAAAACCAATTCTCTGACCATTTATTTTGAAACAGAACCGAACTGCCCAGCTGAGAGCGAAGAGCCCTGAAAATTGACCCTTCCCCTCAGCCATCCTTGTTTCCAGCGTCACCCACTTAGAAAGCTGTGGACGACCAAGCCTGTCTCCATCCTCCACGGTGCGCTGGGGTCACCCCACCACTGGTGACGGCCACTGTCTGGAGGCACAGTTTTGTGAGCCTCAGGGCAAGTTTGCCCTTCATCGCGTGTTTCTTGGCTGGTGTAGACATTCTAGGCGTTCCCCTCAGGCGCAGTTCAAATGTCTCCTCTGGGTGAGGAAACTTGCCCGATGGAGTCAGAGCCAGCACCTGGGTCTTCCTGTCATGGCTGCATGCTTCCTGTAGTTCGCAGCCGTGTCTGTCTCTGCCTTTACACTCGACGCGTAGGCCACCCACCTCAACCCCTGACCCCACACTCTTGTTCCTTGGTCGTCTTATATGCTTGGTCTTACCTGTACGACGCGGCAGTCAAGTCTTCAAGAGCAGAGCTTGTGTGACGTGTGGTTACTCCCCCACACCAGCATCAGGACACTGTGTGTGTGAGAGAAAGCGGAGACCAGCTGGCGGACACGCCCTAACACAGCTGAAATGCAGCCACACCCCAGATACGCTGCCTTCACTTGACAGCCGGGCCCTGGGGAGCCACACAGGGCTCACACGGCGACCCAAGCCCGGAGAGCTTACAGACTGAGAGAAATGGATGTGCTGGGCGTGCGCTCTCCCTCATCAACTTTGGACAGCTTTTCTTGTTTTTCTTTTTAGATTTTAATTATGTGTTTATTTTTATTACTGTGTGTTTTTCTGTACATTAACCAAGTGCATGGCTTTATTTTTATTTAATTTTTTCACGGAGCAGTGAGCTTGTGGAAACTCAGCTCCCCCACCAGGGGTCGAACTGGCACCCTTGTCCATGAAAGCATGGGGTCCTAACTGCTGGGTCCCCAAGGGATTCTCTGGGCAGCTTTTCTTTAACTAAGGACCTGACTCGTTTTGTTGACTGAATTGGATAAAGGATTTTACCTATGTTTGAGACAGGAATGAAATAACATGAAGGTACACAGTTGGGATGTTGACAATCGTTTCCAGGGATTTTTTGTTGGTGGTGGTTGTGCGGCCGCTCAGTCATGCCCGACTCGGTGATCCCATGGACTGCAGCCGCACCAGGCTTCCCTGTCCTTCACTGTCTCCCAGGGAGTGTGCTCAGACTAATGTCTGTTGAGTCAGTGATGACATCCAGCCATCTCATCCTCTGTCACCCGCTTCTGCTCCTGCCCTCCATCTTCCCCAACATCAGTTGATGGCGTGTTTTAATTCTCCCAGTTCCGTGATTGGCTAAGGATTTTACCTATGTTTAGAGACAGGAATAAAATAACATGAGGGTACGTTGTTGGGAAGCTTGCAGTCGTTCTGGGGGAGTTTTTTGTGGTTGGTCTGTTTTAATTCTCCCCGTTCTCTCACCGTTCAGCTTATCTGTTTTCCCTCCCATCAGGGTCCCCGGCTGCGGGGCTCTTTCTCAGTCATCGTGCGTGTGGCCTGACTGAAGACGGAGGGGATGAAGTCCATCCTCGACGGCCTGGCAGATACCACCTTCCGAACCATCACCACAGACCTCCTGTACGTGGGTGCCAATGACATTCAGTACGAAGACATCAAAAGCGACATGGCATCCAAATTAGGGTACTTTCCACAGAAATTTCCTCTGACTTCCTTCCGGGGAAGTCCCTTCCAGGAAAAGATGACTGCCGGGGACAGCCCTCAGCTGGTCCCCGCGGACCAGGCGAACCTCACTGAATTTTACAACAAGTCCCTGTCCTCCTACAAGGAGAATGAGGAGAACATCCAGTGTGGGGAGAACTTCATGGACATGGAGTGCTTCATGATCCTGAACCCCAGCCAGCAGCTGGCCATCGCTGTGCTGTCCCTCACGCTGGGCACCTTCACGGTCCTGGAGAACCTGCTGGTGCTCTGCGTCATCCTCCACTCGCGAAGCCTGCGCTGCCGGCCGTCTTACCACTTCATCGGCAGCCTGGCGGTGGCCGACCTCCTGGGGAGCGTCATCTTCGTCTACAGCTTCGTGGACTTCCACGTGTTCCACCGCAAAGACAGCCCCAATGTGTTTCTGTTCAAACTGGGGGGGGTCACGGCCTCGTTCACAGCCTCGGTGGGCAGCCTGTTCCTCACGGCCATCGACAGGTACATATCGATCCACAGGCCCCTGGCCTACAAGAGGATCGTCACACGGCCCAAGGCCGTGGTGGCGTTTTGCCTGATGTGGACCATCGCGATTGTGATCGCAGTGCTGCCCCTGCTAGGCTGGAACTGCAAGAAGCTGCAATCGGTGTGCTCAGACATTTTCCCGCTCATTGACGAGACCTACCTGATGTTCTGGATCGGGGTCACCAGCGTGCTGCTGCTGTTCATCGTGTATGCCTACATGTACATCCTCTGGAAGGCGCACAGCCACGCCGTCCGCATGATCCAGCGCGGTACCCAGAAAAGCATCATCATCCACACGTCCGAGGATGGCAAGGTGCAGGTGACTCGGCCCGACCAAGCCCGCATGGACATTCGGCTGGCCAAGACCCTGGTCCTCATCCTGGTGGTTTTGATCATCTGCTGGGGCCCTCTGCTCGCCATCATGGTATACGATGTCTTTGGGAAGATGAACAAGCTCATTAAGACGGTGTTTGCGTTCTGCAGCATGCTCTGCCTGCTGAATTCCACAGTGAACCCCATCATCTACGCTCTGCGGAGCAAGGACCTGAGACATGCTTTCCGGAGCATGTTCCCCTCCTGCGAAGGCACCGCACAGCCTCTTGATAACAGCATGGGGGACTCAGACTGCCTGCACAAACACGCCAACAACGCAGCCAGCGTCCACAGGGCCGCGGAGAGCTGCATCAAGAGCACGGTCAAGATCGCCAAGGTGACCATGTCTGTGTCCACGGACACGTCTGCCGAGGCTCTGTGAGCCAGACACTTCCCTGGCTGCACAGAACAAAAAATTTCCTCTCTCTCTCTTTTTTTTAAAGCTCAAAACCCAGAAGTGTCTGTCCTCTCATCGTTTCTATTTTTTTAAGTTGACCACGCTCAGTGAAGAGGCGATTGTCACCATGATCAGTTATCAGTTCTCTAACGTCTCTATAGTGTAGGTCCTCAGACTCAGGTCTCTGGAGGTTTACAGGGAAGAGAGCCTGTGGCTTCAGGGACTGGAAGGTCCATGCAGAGTCTCAATGACATAAGAGAGACACTTTCGGCTACACAGTTGAAAGCCCAAGTACCCATAGAAAAAGGCCATTAAATGAGTGATGCCTTTGTAATCACAACTTTCATTATAATGTGAAATGTACTTGTCCAGAAATACCAGAGATACTTCTGATATCTGAGAGATCTCCATTTTTACAACAGTTTTAGGACTAAAGTAGAGCTATTCTGTGACATGAAGTGTGTCCTGTGAGATGTGTATCAGTGTTTACTATGTGTTATTTATATTTGTCTAGTTCAGCAAAACTGCGAGGTGGGCTTCTATGAGACCAATGGAACCTAAGCAGTGGATATACACCAATGAGACCACTTTTTAAAGCATTATTGTCCATGATCTAACTTTAGAAACATTAATATTTTTTCAAAAATCTCTATTAAAATTTGACATTGAAATAACCATAAAGTTTTATTTTTCTGTTAATCCAACAAGAAGACTTTCAAGACTGTCCAAAGTCTTGAGCAGAACTCATTGACACTTAAAATTTTCTTAGTCCTGCATTTTCCTACGAGGACTCGTATTATCGCCTGGACTCTTAACTGTTCTGCCGGGTGATGGATTACAGGCAGAACAAAAGAGAGATGACTTATTGACTTTTGGCTGCCATCGCTGACTTTCTTTAGTCTTTAGCTCTTACTGGACCTCTTAAGACAGCATGTGTCGATCTTAATGTAAGTTGTTAGCACTGTGCAATTGCTGTTTACTTGAAGAGTACTGCATCCTTATATTCCAGGTTTAAGTAGATTTCATGCCTGGGTGGCCAAACAACAGTCTTCATTTTTTCTTAATTGAAAAGAAGTATTGTCTGGACCAGTAAAATTCTACTGTATGTGTGAATGTAAATGTGTGTATGTGTGTGATTCTATCCTGTAACTGTTCTAGTAATGTCTTAAAGTGATAAAACTGTGACCACGTGTACGCTGTTCCCCTTGCTGCGCTCTCACACATGAATTCAGTTTCTAAAATTGAGTTCTTCCAGAAATCTTGTTGATAAAAACACTGGCCATAAACCTTCAGAACCCTACCCCTTTGAGACTGGATCAAGTATTACTAAACTGACCCTTAGATATTTCATAAGACCAGTGTTTAGCAAGGAATCATTGGTCATGAACACTCAAGTCACGGTCTGTATAGTGTTCACATCAGGAAATGAAAGTGTTTTTGTCTCTGATCACCTAATGTTGATCAAGTCCATGGAGATGTAAGTCATTATAAGGGAAGTGGTTCTAAAAGAAAGAAGAAAGCCCAGTAGTAACACAGTTTAGTTGTGTGTGTAGGCAGCGAGATCCCAGTTTAAGTAGCTCTATACCTTGCTCACCGGAATGAGACTACCAGGTCTGGCTCCTGCGGTAAGAAGGCCCATCAGACAGCGAGGGAGACAGGACAGGGCAGTGAGGAGCTGACACCCTTGCGCTGGAGGCCTGGACGTCATGTGGTTGCCTCTGTGCTTCAAGCAGATGCCCTTGGTGCCAACCCAGCACCTGGCTTTGCCTGTATAGGTTTGGGCTGAGGAAGCGGCTCTCCTCTGCTCCTGGTTAGCCAGAGGTGCTAAGGCATAAAGATGAACATGGCTTGCTTTCTTCTTACACTCCAGTTTCATCCTCAGTGGTGCCGTGGGTGCTCCGAAGTAGGCCCTCTCACAGTAAACATTGATAGTGCTTAAGAAGCCATTCGACTCTGACACATTTTGCTTGCAGGCTACCTTTTCCCTAAATGGATAAAACGTAGCCTTTGCATAGCCTGCATAGGCCTGCATAGCCTGATGTAAAGTGGAGAGCCAGCCGATCTGGTGATTGCTAGCTATGTGGTACCCAAGCAGCCTGATGGGGCGATGCTGTTTCTTGCAGTATAAGGCTGAATATGGCTTGTGGACCATAAAAGCTGAGATGCTTTTAATTGTCTGTACAGCTTGCCTGCTGGTTCCTTCACTTTACCTCTCTGTCATATGCAGATGAGGGCTCAGGGTGCTAGAGGATTAATAAGATCTCTTTAGAAGGACAAAAGATTATTTATGAAAAAACTCACCAGGGTTTCTAGTTTCCATTGAAAAATTTGTCACTCTTTTGTCCCAAATTACCCTGAAGATGAATCCACGTATCTCTGAGCTCACCAGGCAATGCCAATGCTCTTTTCACAGCTACGAAGACCTGGTGAAGATGAAATTCTTGTTATTGGTAGAAAAATTTCAGGATTCATTTTTGAAACTGTATTTGTGTGTATGCAAAGTAGATTTTATAGTGTGTTGTGCTTACAAGATCTTAATCATATATAATCAATTAAGGGACAATGGGGCTGACAGCACTAAACTTGGTGCTTATTGATATTCTAAGAAATATCTGTGAAATATCATCCTGTATGTGTTATGCCACCTTCATTTTAAAACATTTAAATGAGTTTGATTCACTCTGACACTTTTAATATCATTTCCTAACCCAAATGACTCAAATGTTCTCCCCAAGGAATATACTCATTAGAATTATTATTCATTAGTATCATTCATTATTTAGTCCCTTAATGAGATCCATTGATTTAAATATAATGTAGATTTCAGTATGTTTTATAAGGTCTAGCTTCAGAGTTATCTTCTCTCCTCTGAGGCTGACATATGAGTCATGCATTTCACCATCATATATGTCTTCAGAAAGGGCCAGATTGCCAATCTGCCTGGTTTCTTCAGAGTAATGATGAATGTTTCAATCCCGGACCTACAGTTTCATTTAGAAAAAGAGGGCTGTCTGTAAGAACCCCTACTTTTCCATTACATAGGAAATAAGTGTAAAAGAAACATGGATCTGGATGAAGCTACACACATATGCCTACACTTGAGATGATCCCCAAGACTGCCTGTCACTTTGAGTCCAAGTGGCATTAAGTATAATGGAATTGTGGCTGCCTAAACCCACACTGCAGGAAACAGGCCCAGCCTCCAGATGAGAATTAGACCCTTGATGAGTAGCATTCTAGTTACTGTCCTGTTGATTAATTTCTGCCATCTCGTGTCTGTAAAAGAGACCACCAATATCATGCGCAAATTAGATTTCTCACAATCTAACTGTATATTTGTATGATATTTTAAAATCTCCTAAATGCGGGGCAGTGGTTACTAACAATTGTCTTGCACTGGCCTTCTGAGGGAATGGTAACAATGCCTACTGTAATATAGACAAAACATTTTATCTACTGATTTGGGCTGAATGTATGTAAATAGGTTTTCAAAAAGGCAGATGTTTAAGCAGTGGCCTACAAATCAGTAATTTTCAGATAGGAGAGTTTCTTTACACTGTTGTGGCATCCTAAAAACTATCTTCACATCAACTTAGTGTACTAGGCCTGCTGGGGATGATCGGTGTCCCCAAGGAAGGAAACCTTTTCTTGTAATAATATGAATCAAGATACCAGATGATCTGTATTCTTATTTCCTATGTTTCAAGTGGAAAACATAGCTCTTTATTGTCTGTAAATCAAACATGATTACTTTTCCTCTTAGAGAAATACTGTATTGTTAGATGTTTGTTGAGCTGGTAACATCCTTGCAACCGCTGCAATATCTTTGTTAGTAATAAAACTTTGTACTAAAGTATTAGTAAGATTGTTATTCAATGTAGCTTCAGTCATTAAATTACTATAGTGAAGTAGTACTTCTGTAATATTTACAATGTATTAAGCCCACACTATATTTTATTTCAGTGGTGTAATTAAATTGTTATTTACTCAAAGAGGAAACATCCCATCATGTCTGTTGTCCAAAGTTACCTGGAATCAAATAAAAATCCTAGATTATCACAAAGAATACAGTGTCTTTGAATTCTGCCTTATTTCACTGTCTAATGTCAAAACACTTGAGGTTTAAGTTCTGAAAGATTGATTTGTTCCTCAAAAGCAACGAAGACTTTATTTGAGAAATGAGAACAGATTAGATTAATATATTCATTTTTAACAAAGAAAAAATGCAAAAAGCGTCATTTACATAATAAAGGATAAAGCCTGCCATACCTTTTAAAATCATTATCTAATTAAAGAGTTTAATGATTTTGCACTAAGTTAAAGCAAATGTACTACTCATAATCTATAAATTAAATTTGAACGTCATATATTTCGTAAAATATATAAATCTAAAGAATTTATAACCTCATATATCCTGAACCATGTGAAAAGATAATTACTTTTCAGCTTAACTTATTTATAAAAGCATATTTTTATTTGAACAGTAGGAGAAAATAGAAAATTTTATAATGAAGTAAAAAAGCATTACAATGAAGTTTATACATTATTACTGTCTGAAATAAAGTATGTTTGCAGTCAATTTTGAAAGAAGTTTTTAAATTTTTCAAATTAAATTGACAAATGTTTGAAAATAGATCATCTTTATTTTTTTAATAACTGTAATTAAAACTCTTCATTCTTCTCTTAGTAAACATTGTAGCTAACTGCATGAGCTAAATGCTTCTAGCAAAGAGCAAATGACATGTGTTCTTAATTCTTAAATTTTATATTGGGACTTGAAGGGAATAAGATATTAGGTTGGTGCAAAAGTAACTGGTTTTTACATTGTTGAAATTTGCCATTTGGTATTGGAATACATTCTTAATAAATGTGGTTATGCTACACATCATTTTAATGTGTATTTCTTGATTTATTCTTTTTTTGCTAATGACTCATCACTTGCTGTTTATTTTATAATTATTTTAGACTATGGAAATGATATTAGA